TATAGTTGTTTTACTTACATTACTTCTCCAAGGCCATTCAGAGTCACCATAATTGTAGGTAATTTCTTCTCTGGGATTTATGTCTTGATTGGCAAACAGGCAAAGATGTGGCTTCCCTTGCACCGTTATATATTTTTTTTTAGTATTTGGATTAATGTGATTGTCATTCACAAGTCTTCCATAAGACCCATCCTCTTTTGATGCATCAATGCTATAGAAACACATAATTATATTAATCCTATCATTCATTTTATATACTTGGGCAGAATAAATTAACAATACTTTAAAACCTGTATGAACCAAAATTGGCATGTCACTATTTCATTCTAATCATATTCTGTACTGATATAGAATACTTACCACCATAGTTTTCCATTATACTTGAACTCAAACATGAACACCTTCAGGTGTTCATGGTACAGCCGCTGTCTTCTCTTGCACTCCTGCTGGCTAATCAGTTCACCTCTATATTCACAGACAAAATCTCCTTTTGTAAATGAAGTAGAAGTGAAGAGGCCACGACCTAGTTAATACACAAATTCCAGATATGTGACAAAAGGTTAGGGTCTATTTTAAATAGCATATTTATAAAAATTTGTCATCACAAAAATATCACAAGATTTCATTTACCTTTACAGGCATTGATATATTGAATGTCCAGACCACCTTTGTCACGTCCAGACTGAACATAATATTTTGCATCATCGATTGGGTTAATACGTCTCCGCCTTTGCATGTCTTATTAGTATGTCAAAACTCTAAATAGACAAAAAACACAACTGTTACAATTATCAAGTTCAATTGCAAGACAAATATAATCAGAATACCACAGTCTATTTCTATGCTTTACCAACTAAAGTTAGTACAATTCCATTAACATACTGAAATAAGATGGCTGTAACTTCATATATATGAGCACAGCAAATTTGCTTATCCATAGCTCTTATACAGTAAATGAATAATGAAATGTACACTTTCCTTGTTATTTGTGAGACAAACCTGAACTGCCAGCTTATCTTACAGTCCTCTAAACCTCCTCTCCCCCTCTGCATGCAGGAGTGGATGCTTAACGACATGCTTAAGGAGCAGAGCTGCCTCTGATTAGCCCAACTATTGCAATAAAACGGCTTCTTTTGTTTGTAAAATACAAGTCAATATCATGCATCCCTTCAGAAACAGACCTGAGCAGCAAGCAGTCCGTTCACTCGGTTTTACTCTGCATTTCTTGTCCCGCCTTTCATGAATAACAGCATTTAACTAGTTAGCTACATGTAAAGCTAAGCAGCAAGCAGTCACCTCCAGCTGACTTATCCAGCTACCTACCAGCTAGCAATAAAACAATATGCCTGAACCTGAAAAATTTAATAAACTGCTGCCTCTTATTAAGCAAAAAACCGAATCAACAAACTGTCAAATGTGGACTAACAAGGCTAGTAGGCTAGAAGCATGTTCACAATAATGCTAGGCGTCTCAAGTGCAAACAAAGTCAAAGAAAAAAAAGAATTAAGAATTAATTTGCTAGCTGTCTTGTTTACTGCTTGCTGCTGTCTTCTCTTATCTTTTTACACCAAAACACAAATGCTTACCTGCATTTGCGTTATCCTTTGGACAGTATATCCATTAGGCCAAGCTGTTACCGTCGGGGGTTTAAGCTAAATGACATTGTGTGGGCTGGCCTTGAAGTTCACCGCATGAACGGTTCCGCCCACATGCAAATAACAGCGAATCACAAAGAGCCCACCAAAATCTCACAGAGTGTATCAAAAATGTGTATGACACAAATATTAGGTCAAGTGGTAAAGTAGGACTTCCGAAGAAAAGACGAAAATATGTTATTTAGACACTAACAAATGCAGTCACACTCTCCGAATTGTGAGGACCATCGAATGGACCCAACATTACCCAAGGGTCCAATTTCCCAGGTACGTAGTCAGGTGATTTGTCCCAAGATATCATAAAAACCAACACACACACACACATTGGTTTTCATTTCTCATAGGGACTTTACACTGACTTACATTCATTTCCTGGAGACCTACCCTAACCTTAACCAAAACCACTACTTGCCTATTCCTAACCCTTACTTAACCATGTCATGGTTGAAATTGTTGGGACCACCATGTAGTTCCCATGAGAAAGGAGGTATCCCCACAATGGGAGTGAGTAAACAGGTTTTGGTCCCCACAGTGTGAGTAACTCCAGTCATACAGACGCACACGTGCACCCACACACTTGCACACACACTCACACACTCCTCCCCCTACTGTCACCCCCTCAGCATCCTGCATGAAGGCTCTCCTATGCCTTCTTGGCTTTCTCCCTCTTCCTCCTCTGTGTGTGTTCTTCACAGGCTGTTTATTGAAGCAGCTCCTTGGCAACACATCCACAGCTTCACAGCTCCCTCTCCGCAGTATTTTCTGTTGGACAAGCAGCCCATCTCTGCTGCCCACCTCTGCATGAGACAAGTTTCTGATGCACACAGACTCACCACCTCACCAGCACCTAACTTCCCACTACCTCCTTCTGCCCTCTTTAGCACTGCGTCTCTGCACAGTTAACCCTCTGACACTCTGTTTAGCAATTGTATTTTTATGCACTGGCAAACAATTTCCAGAAGTAAAAGCTTCAAATGCAGGCTGTGAAAGCTATTTGATCAGTGTAGAGAAAGTCACCTAAATCATTGTTTTCATCTTGAAACCAAAGCAGGGCAACAGAGTGTTGTCAGAGAAAATGTTCACAATTCAAAGGACATGCTATTCTTCTCTCCCACGCCTGAACAGGTGTACCTCAGCTGTGGTGAATTTAAGTATACAAGAACACATTGTATTGCTACTGTGCAGCAGAACAACTCTTAGGGCTTTAATTAACTTTTGCAAATCATTCAGATTATATGTGTGTGTGTGGCAGGAGGAGGAGGGTGAGAGCCAAATTGGTAGCTGGCATCCAGGCCTGTTGTGAGATTATGGGGAATGGACACTCTCTGGAGCAGAGATCAGCAGAGGAGCTGCTGTTGTCCGGGCAGCAGACACCAGTGGAGACATGCTTTTGGAGACTTTACAGCAGTCATATAGGAACAAAGAGCAGGAGCCTTGTAAATTGTGACTGATACAGAGAAGACAGTCATGGTGCGCATCAAAATAAATAAATAATCCCTTCTCACCCCTACAGGGCAGTGTGTGTCTTCCTCAGCCTCAGGTCCTCTACCAGAGGCCTGGGAGCTCTGCACAGTATCCTAGCTGTATTTAGCACTGCACTCTTCTGGACAGAGAGCTCTGATGCTCCTAGGATCTGTTGGAGCCATTCTTCCAGTTTAGGAATCACAGCTCTGAGTGCTCCTACCACCACTGGGTCCACTTTGGCCTTCACCCTCCGCATCTTCTCCAGTTTCTCTGTTAGGCCCTGGTTCTTCTCCAGCTTCTCATACTCCTTCTTCTTGATGTTGCTGTCATTTGGAACTGCTATGCCTATCACCACTACCTCCTTCTGTTCTTTGTCTACTACCATAATGTCTGGCTGGTTGGCCAGTACCTTCCTGTCTGTCTGGCTCTGGAAGTCCCACAGGACCTTAGCCCTGTTATTCTCCACAACCTTTTGAGGAGTCTTCCATCTAGACTTGCGAGGGTCTATCCCATACTCGGTGCTGATGTTTCTGTACACAATGCCAGCCACCTGGTTGTGCTGTTCAGTGTATGCTGTTCCTGCTTGTGTTTTGCATCCTGCCAGTATGTGTTGAACTACCTCTGAGGCCTCTTTGCATAATCTGCACCTGAGGTCCTGTCTGGTGTGGTAGACCTCTGGTTTGATTGATCTGATACTTAGTACCTGTTCTTGTGCTGCTATGATCAGTATATCTCAGTGCTGTCCATCAGGCCAGCCTTTTCCAGCCACTGGTAGTATTTCCCAGTGTCAGGACCTCAGTTATCTGTTGATTGTATATCCCATGCAGGGCCTTACCGGGCCATGGCACTTCCTCTGGGTGGTTTTCATTCCCTGTCTGTTGTTGTCTCAGGCATTCTCTCAGCAGCCTGTCTCAGGGTACAATCTTGCGGATGCTCTGGGTTTCATACGGTACAGATACCCTGCCAGCTTACTATGCTGGCAGGGTATCTGATGACTGGCAGTGTGTATGTGTTGATGGCTTGGATCTTGTTTGTCTCATTGAGCTGGCTTTTCAGGACCTGTCTTATCCTTTGATGGTACTTGGACATTGCTGTCTTTCTTTCCTCCTCATTGTGATTCCCATGTGACTGTAGGTGTTATGTCCGTGGCCCTGGCCACCCCCAGCACCTCATCAGCTGGTAGGAGTAATCCCAGTAGCACCGCCCCCGCACAGGTGGGAGTGAGTGGATTCCAGGCGGTGAGGCACACCTGCTCTCAATTATCAGAGCAGTACTTAAGGAGAGCGTTGGTGTGTCCTCGTCGCCGGATGATTGCTTGTAGTCCACCAGTAATTTTGCTTGGCATCCATGCCCAGACCCTATGGAAAAACTGCGTACCTGTTGTTAAGCCTGACTTTGTTTTTTTGGAACTATATGTTGTCAGTTTGTGAATGTTTTAGGACTGGATAAGTCTGACTTCTTCCTACTCCATTCAACCATGTACTAGGTATAAGCAAATTGATATTGGATTATGTGTATGTGTGTTGTCATATCAATTGTTTTTACATGCTTGAAAGAATAAATCAAATCAAATTGGTGTGTTTGGATTCCTGCCCTTTGTTTCTTTATTTTTCTCTCAGCACCAAGTGGTCCACTATTCATTTTCATCACCTCATCCTACCGCCTGCTCTGCTGTGGACCTGCTCATCTGACCGGCTGTCTCCTGCGCTCTCTCCTACTGCCCTGGATTGCTCCTTTTGCCTGCGGCGCTCACCTGCCAAGAGCCGGTGCAGTCGGCTAATCAGGTCCACAGTGTTCCACCAGAACTAGCTCTACCTCAGCATACCTGTTCAGCTCTCTCATGTTCTCTCCCTCTGCTTTCATTTAGCTAGCTGCGTCCCACCTTCAACCCCGGGTTGCATCACCAGCAGTTCAGTCCAGTCCACCCAGTGCTCCCAGTTGCCCCACAAGCGGCGAATGAGACCAGCTCTGTCACTTATCCTCTGTACACTCATTAAATACACTTACCTTGTCAAGCCTGAGTCTGAGTCCTGCAGTCTTTCTGAGTCCACTCAAACACTACATATGGTGTGCTGTAACAGTAGGATACCAAGGTACTTGTATGTGTGCTATGTGCCCCACCTCACCCCCACCCCGATGTGGGCTTCATAGAAAAATGGAAAACATTTTTGGGAAAACCCGGTCTGATTATCAGAGATGGCATGCATCCCACTTTGTATTGTGCCACTCTTATTTCTAGAAATCAGGACGAGTTTATTTTACAACCTAAATTATGACAACCCAGAGTTGAGTCCAGGATGCAGGGTCACAGTCTTACATGCCTCACTATGAGTCTCTCACACCCAAGTTGGAAAACTCAAAAGCCAGTTCTATTTGTTATTGTATACCATCTACCTGCTCCTTATTCAGAGTTTTTAACTGGATTCTCGGACTGGTCCTGTGGTGTAGCCGCAACAACCTGGAGCTGAACACGCTCAAAACAGTGGATATGACAGTGGACTTCAGGAAGAGCCCTCCCACCTCGCCCCCACTTATCATACTTGGCAGCACTGTATCAGCAGTAAAGTCCTATAATTTCCCACTATCTCCCAGGACCTGAAGTGAACATCCAACATCAGGACCATCACCAAGAAGGCACAGCAGAGGATGTACTTCCTGCACCAGCTCAGGATGTTTGACCTGCCCCAGGAGCTGCTGATACAGTGTTACAGAGGAATCAAGTCTGTTCTCTGCACATCCATCACTGTCTGGTTTATGGAGGACCTGTACACCTCACGGGTCAAAAGGAGGGTGGAGAGGATCACTGCAGACCCCTTACACTCTAGACACAAACTGTTTGAACTCCTCCCCTTTGGACAGCGTTACAGGTAACACTAAGACAACCAGACACAGGGACAGTTTCTTCCCCCAGGCTGTCACCCTGATGAACACTTGACCCATGACAGTATGATTGGACAATAACCCTCAGTGCAATACCTGTAAATATACCTCATACAGATTATACAGACTCATACAGGTCTCTAGTTCTTAAGTACTCTGTTTATCTCTATTTATCTCATTTCAATGAACATTCCTTTGTTGTCTGTATTGTTTACTGTCTGTTTATACTGCTTTTTCTGCATTGTTTGCACTGTTTGTTGATGTTAATACTGCTATTTTGTTATATTACACAGCCTTATGCTGGTTTACTGTTTTGCACATTGAGAGCCAATGTACCTGAGTCAAATTCCTCATGTGTTCGTCACACCTGGCCAATAAAGCTGATTCTGATTCTGATTCTGACTTTCAGTCTGATTTAGTGCTTAGTACAGATAAAATAATCATATTAGGTGACTTTAATATCCATGTAGATGCTGACAATGACAGCTTCAACAGTGCATTCAGTTCATTATTAGACTCAGTTGGCTTTTCTCAAACTGTAAATAAACCCACTCACTGTTTTAATCATACCCTTGATCTTGTTCTGACATATGGCATCAAAACCGAACACTTAATAGCTTTTCTCCAAAACCCTCTTTTGTCTGACCATTTTCTAATAACTTTTGAATTTATATTAATGGATTATACTCTATGTGAGGAAACAGTTCCACTATAGTAGATATCCCAGCTGACATTGGGCAAG